AATTATCTTGAGATTTCTCATCCTGTTCGAGTAGATAGGCGCCATGACCTTGTTGAAGAGCTTCGTTGTATTCTTTCTGTGCTTCCTTCTTTTCTTTTAAATCAGCTTCGATTTGTCGATCGTCGATTTGTGCAATGAATTTATAAACAGCTGCTTGCTCTTCGATGGGAAAACAATAAACAGCCTCGATCGGATTTGTTTCGTCATTACGAAACACTTGTTTGATTGTCACATCAGCAGCAAATAAATCTATCTTTCCTTCAACACGAACGGATTTTAATGGAACGTATTTTGGTTGTTCCGGTAGATCATTTGCACCTATCAGAATACTTTTAATTCGCAACATCGTTTAACTTTATATGAATGTGTTTCTACCTTCATTTTTTGTTCTTTATATACGGCGATACAAAATACACAATGAATCACTTATGACGGGCTATCGTTGTATAAATGAGAGAATAAATATTTATTCAGTCGACATACAGAACATTCGCGATGCAATCCAGGGACAAGATAGAGAACCAGAATAAATTATGAATCATATAGTTTTACGTTATAAGCTATCAATGTCCAATAAGAATTCGACTTTCACGGAATTGTGCAAGACAAGAAAACTTTGCTAATGAGTCATTGAGCGAGTTGACTTCGGAAGAGAAAAAGTGTATCAAATTGACAATTCCCTCTACTGAAAGAAGGGTAGTGCGTCGAGCTGATATCACCGAAAAAACGAGTTGATGTTCGTTCGTTCATTTTTCTTGCAATATTACCTAATACTAGCTCATAGTAGTAAGGGTTGACCGAAGGGTAATCGGGGTCGAGGATCTTGAATCCGGTGTTAGTTTTTTCATGAATACTTTCTGACCCGTATTTTGCGACAAAGGATCAATTTTTTCAGACGAAAATGTTTTAAGCGGCAATATGTAGAACAAAATGTAACAGCTGACTGACGTCCGATCGCTGGATCTCCATAGTCATCAGCATATTACTGAGATCACACACTTTTATAAACAGCTATACTATACGAATATCATCTGATGGCAGTCATTCAAAATAATGTTTCGCTCGTCAGGTGTTGTCTTCGACAGTCACAGTAGCACAAAGAGGGTGACTTTTAAGGAAGGAATAGAGGAGAATGAATGGATTAGTTTCAAAAGTGACTCTAGACTAAATGGAAGAGTGAAAATGTACATGTAACGGCTAACCGCGAGTGACCGACCGGAGGAAGGCCGACGAGCGACTAATCGTCGATTTGCAGCATAATATTTTAAGAACAAAATTTGTGATTGTTATAGAGCTTTAATATTTCTTGGTCAGAAATTAATCGTTGCTTTCCACAAACATAGGTGACAGCTATTTAAGGTTCCCCTTGAAAATTAGTTGAAAAGTGAGATTTATAAGACTGTCGCATAGTGTCCATAATTTTTCTAAGGTTTATACAAGTAACGCTCGTCTAGCGACTCGCTCAACTCTTTCTCGTAGAAATCGTGCTTTCAGATATTACACTTTAAAGCTATTATTGTGTATATTAATTTATTTTTAGCGTAGATTAGATATTTTCACAAAAGTGGTAATAGATATTTATATCAAATCGAGAACCAGACATTCTAAATAAGTATCAATGCAATTAAGTAGATTATGAGTTATTACATGAAAAAGCTTTCAGCGCAATCCCTAACGGGATTAAAAATGTAAAACACGATCCAACTGGAGAAACTTTCAACACATAGAATGGTCAATTTACTTCCCAGTGTGCATTCCTATTTATTTAAACTTAAGCTGTTGAAAATAACATATCATTCTCAATAGTGATGTCCGCTGCTTTTTAAAAGATCTCCGTTTCATCGGTCACAATATGTTATGCTTCTTATTGCGCTTCCATTAACCGATCACGATCTGTGCTGAGACCTACGTGGGTCGACGTAATGAAGTTGAGAGTCACCCTGTCTGTGAGACAATGATATAGAGTTTATTTGCCTTTTCACATAACAACCTCTCTCTCTCTCTCTCTTCATTCTTTAGGTGCACCTTTCACAGAAAACAGTGAATAACAGTCAAGGTCAGTCGGTAACAGTTTGTCACAGGGCTTTTGGGCTTGTTTATAACGGTATTTGACTGGTCTTTGGGCCTGTCTGTAACGTCGGTGATGGGATTTTCCCAGCGTCTGTAACGTCTGTGGGGGGGAGGGGTCGAAATTTCTGCCCCTACACATTTCAACACTCTCTTTCAGATCGTGTTTCATAAAAAGAAAATAAGAAAACACGATAGGAAATATCTGCGACAATGAAAGAAAAGAAACGATTACTACAATAATTAAGATAAATGTAAAGAGGGAGGTCAAAAATTAATATATACGAATAATTGTTTTAAGATAATTTGAAAAATGATAATACATTTTATATGCTCATAGTAACACTAAACTCTTAACAGTGTATCGATTTATACACGTTCAAAAAGCGGAAGAGGTACATTCTCGTTTTGTCTTCTTTGTAAAGTTCATCTAGACGTTTCTGTTTAGCGTCTTGAGCAAGAGAGGGTCGAACGCGTAAACAAGTTATAACTGTTTTTCTGAAAATCGCTATCCTTGGTTTGAAAAAATTTTTTTCCATTCTCAAAAAAAATAACATAAGATTTCTCCTCTTCGACCCCAAAATCTCTTCGGTAAATTTTTATAAAAAAAAAATTTTTTTACAAAGAAGTCGCTCGTTGTGTAAAAAAATTGATCCATGTAAGCATTTGAAAAAAGTAACGCCAGATTCGAGTTCATCAACTCAAAAAACTCCTTAGTCAAATTTTATAAAAAAACTTTTTTTATAGAAAACGGCTCTTTGTTTAAAAAAATATTTTTTTTTCATGAAAAATTTCAAAAAACGAGCTGTAGATTCGAGTTCATCAGCCTCAAAAACCTTTCGGTCAACCCTTATGTAAAAAATGATCTTTTTGTTAAAAAGTCACCCTGTCGAAAAAATTTTTTTTATGAAAAATTTCGACAAACTAACATCAGATTTGAAGTTTCCGCATCGAAATACCTCTGGAAATGTCTTTTCGGAAAATCGATTTTCGATGTTTTTTTGACCCAGTGGACATACAAGCAAGGATGCAAGCAAACAATTTATGTTTCTAAGATTCTTCTCTACGAGAAAGAGAATATATGACATCTTTTCGAGCTTCGAGAAGAAAACTATGTAGATCATCGACTTATTCAACTAAAAATGATAAGAAAAGATATACTGTAGGTCACGCAGTTGTGAAGAATTTCGGCAACTTGCTACAGACGGACTCAACAAGAACGAGGTACTTTTTAAAGTGAAAATATCATTAAACACTTATTAGGTACCAACGGCTAGCGGTGAGTGGTTGACCGGAGAGAGGCCGACAAACGACTAGGCGTTATAATTTCAGAAGATTTCGGGAAGCGAAATTGGTCTAGGTAAAACATTCTGACAAATTATCAAACAAGTAACGCTCATCCTGTGGATTCGCTGACCCTTTTCTGAAAGACTTTTGCGAATTTGAACACATTCAGAGACTTCGAAAGAGAAAAACGCACTGCGATTGCTACTAGTGCTCAACTGAATCATGGCACTATGTCACACACTAGAATGAATAGGATGCAAAAGTTTTTTTAGGAATCAGACCGATTAGCCATTTGTCAGTAGATAATTCTCCAGCACTAACTATGTTGACTGAAAAATTCATCGCTCAACGGTTAGTCAGACGGCCACTCACGGCCAACCATTGACCTTTGTCATCTGTTTTTCTGTTTTCATATCACGTGCATGGAAATTTTCATAAATGCTTTACTAAATCACTCATAGACGGATGATATACAGTAGACTACTTGAAAAGTTTGAACATTCGCCTGTGTCTTCCAGCGATAATCCGATTCTTTTCTCTCCTGTCAACGAAATGATACCTTGTCGAATATTTTCATTGAGGAATATTCATTCGTCAAATCCCTTTCAAAATTATCTGAAGCCTGGCAAGGTTATTCTAAGCGTACACTTTAGGATTAATCTAGCATTTAAACACCTAGTCGTTCGTCGACCTCCCTCCGGTCGGTCACTCACGGCTAGCCGTTGACGCACATGATCAGTTTTCATAGTTTTTCCATATGATGAAGTAGCTCGTTGATACTAAGTCGATTTGTGATCGAAGTTATCAAAACCCTTCGTAACTGTGTAGTTTACAGTACATATTCTATTGCTCTGTTCAATTTGAAGCGCTGATAATGTACAGTCCCTATTCTCGAAGCTCGAAAACACATCAATTATGTTCGTTCAAAAACCATTGACTTTCGTTGAGACAGTGATAAATTTTATCTTTCAAGTAATTTTGAAAATAAACGTCTAGTCGTTCGTCGACCTCCCTCCGATCGGTTACTCACGGCCAGCCGTTGCCATGCTGTCTCTGTTATTCCTTTCGCCTTTGATCAACTTCCAAACTGAACGATTGGGTTTTCTTTTATTGTCGCTTCTGCAGTCATGATCTTCTATTCATTCGGCTACCCAAAGAAACTAGATAAGAAAGTCTTATTCTATAGTTTGCTTCGAAACGAACATCTTTCATAGTGCTGCATGTGTTCAGAATACTGTTTCTACAGTCCACGCGTCTGTAGTTCCTAAGATGGAATTCTACCGACGGGCATACCGCTTTGCGAACTACTTCTACTGAATTTCCATGAAAGGACATAATGTATGTAGCCTACAAAGCAAAGATGATACTAAGCTCATATCACTTTTTCGGATTTCTTCAACTAGAAACATCATTATGTACAATGCATTAGATCTTTTCATGTAAGTTTTTGAGCTACTATCTTTGTGCACATGACGTCCGTGAATAGCGTTCAGCTCACCATCATCTACAAAAGACTTTAGAACATATAAAGAAAAATATCTCCTTTGTAAGAGGAAGAAACAAGCCCAGGCTCAGCGAATAAAACGAAGTTCACCCTCAAATTCGAATTTCCCAACGCCAGAAATCCTTCGGTCTACTCTGACAATGGATGTTAATAAGTCGTGGCTAGTCAGTGAAAAACTAATAATTAATTAATCAACACTAACCTGGGATTCGTGATCCTTGATCTCGATTACCCTACCGGTAATCATTTTCTAACAACTATCTATCAATTTCATTGATTTTAGAAATGCTGATTTCTGATCGGATAGGACAGACAGACAGACAAACTTTAAGCTTTTTAACACAGCATTTAAACGCTGTATAACCCTTTCTTTCAGAAAAGGGAACACGAAAATAAATTCATGAACGATTCAGGGAACTTTTTCTCTTCTTATCATCATCAGTAGCCTGTCTCATGGGTTTCGCGCCCATCTGAGCAAATCGTTTTAC